CTAGAAGACATTGAGTCAAGTCCTGTATATGGTCAATTTAGGTCCAGTATCTAGTTTCTCGGAAATTGGGTCAATTTTTTATCTAGGTCAAAGTTCAAGAACTAGGTCAAATCTTAAATCTGTCTATTATCTTCGTCGTTATTTATCGAAACAACTTTGTCTTTTTTCATCATGTAGCTTAGAAACAGCCCTTTCATGCTGTGCCATCAGATTTTTGATTACTGTTACCGATTTTGAGATATGGTGTCCGGAAAGTAAGTCAGAACAAAAAAATTCTCCAAATTCAACATGTGAGTTATGAAATAGAATGATCTCAGGAATCCGAATCTGCAAACCAAATTTGAATCGGACTTCCGGTTCGGAAGTAATTGCGTTTTGTAAGCTCAAAAATCGCTAAATTTGGTGCCCATGTTAAGTCAATGGGAAAAAAGATTTTTTTGGAGTGAAAAATACGAAATATAGACTGAGTTCAGCTAAATACAATGAAAGCTTTTAAAAGAATGGAACCTCAAAAGCCATCTAGCTTCAAAATTTGGACACCAAAATGCAGGCCTGTCAACTGTCCCGCAATTTGCGTATTTGTTACGCATTTGCTGAAGAATTTGAAGTCACGCCAGTTATTTTTGCGTGACAGAAAATGTCACGCAAATACGCATTTTACCTGTTAAATTGTCAAGCAAAAATATTTCTGTAGAAAAATTTCTAAAAAAGATTGTCTACAAAGCAAAAATTCGAACGCCAGAAAAAAATGTACGCATTACGTTCGGAATTTTCACGCGAATTACGTATATGTCACGCATTCCGTTCGAAATTTTTCGTACCTACGCCCCCCCCCCCCCCCCCCCCCCCCGTTGATGGATGTTTGAAACGCGAGTGTAGCGAGCGCGAAAAATTTGAGGTGTTCAAAATTTGGCAAGATGTAATAAAATTTAAACCAAGGTGTTCAAAATTTGGATCAAGGTGTTCAGATTTGGACCAAGGTGTCCACAATTTGAGGGGAGGTGTTCTACATTTCCAAGTCACTCATGTTAGGTGTTCCCAAGTTGACAGGCCTGAAAATGCCTAGGTCAAAATCTAGGTCAAATTCAAAGTTTTTCCTTATTTTTGCGATTCTGACACTACACTTTAATTATATTCTTCGAAATGGTGTATACATGAAGCCAAGAGTGTGCTAATAGTGTTAGCCTTTTGCCGTCAGAAAGTATTTTGACCCACTTTTGAGATATGGCGTCCGAAAAGTAGGTCAAAATAAAAAGTTCTCCAAATTCAACGTATGAGTTATAAATTAAGGGAAGAATTTTCTCAGGAATCCAAATCTGCAAACCAAATTTTGATCCGACTTCCGGTTCGGAAGTTATGGCGCTTTGAAATTTCGAGAAAAAATCGATCTGATGATAACCTTATAGAAAGTCAAGAAAAGTGAAAAAAATTGAAAAATACCTTTCCAGTCCATTTCCAGGTTCAAGTCAAGGTCCAGTCCAGGTCCAAGTCCAAGTCCAGTGTTTGTCTAGGTCCAAGTCAAGTCTAGGTCCAAGTCCAGTCCAGGGCCTAGGTCAAAATCTACGTCAAATTCAAAGCTTTTCCTCATTTTTTCGATTCTGACACTACACTTTAATTATATTCTTCGAAATTTGGTATATATGTAGCCAAGAGTGTGCTAATAGTGTTAGCTTTTTGCTGTCAGAAAATATTTTGACCCACTTTTGAGATATGGTGTCTGAAAAGTAGGTCAAAATAAAAACTTCTCTAAATTTAACGTATGAGTTATGAATTAAGGATAGAATTTTCTAAGGGATCTGAATCTGCAAACCAAATTTCGATCCGACTTATGTTATGGCGTTTTGAAATTTCGAGAAAAATCGATCTTATGGTATCCTGATAGAAAGTCAAGAGAAGTGAAGAAAATGTTGAAAAATCCATCCATCCTTCCACCCATCCTTCCTATCTTATCCTTCCTTATATCTTTCCTTCATATCTTTTCCTTCCTATCCTTCCTATTCTATCCTATCCTTCTTTCCTACTCTATCCTATCGTTCCTTCTTATTCTGTCCTATCCTTCCTATCCTATCCAATGTTATCCTATCCTATCCTTCTTATCTATCCTTCCTATCCTTTCCTTTCCTTCCTATTCTATCATTCCTTGCTATTCTATTCTATCTCATCCTTTCCTATTCTATCCTATCGTTCCTTCCTATTCTATCCTATCCCTTCTTCCTATTTCATCCATCCATCCATCCATCTTTTTCTGAATGACTCAGTTTATTCTGGATGACTCGGCTTATTCTGGATGACTGGGCTTAAAAAAGTCTAGATCTGGAGTCTGAAAGTTCAATTTCCAAAGTCTAGTTATATTTTATTATCATAAGAATTAAAAGTAAAAATGAATGAAGTCTTACCTCAGAAACTTCCCATAAAACAGACGAAAGCCCATGAACCAAAAATATTTAGTTTCCTTTCTGTATCTTACTTGTTTGGCACATGGAGCGGTGAAATAGTCCACAGTGTCCAAAAACAATAATAATCCTATATTGGTAATTGGAAAGATTCCACTCACCACGATTTCAAAAAAATTGTAAATAGATGATATAATTCTTGAATTTGGGTCATTTGTTTCAAGGAATCTGTAGGCTCTTTCAGCTGAGCTGACAAAATCACCAAGATTTACAGATGGTCCATATGTTGGCTGCTCATTGTCACTTTCAAGGAATGTTAATGGCTCTGAAACTTGATCTGTGGGTATTTCAGTGGGTTGGTGGTTCTTGGGCTCTGAATTCACTTGATTGGCGTACCTAATTTCAACATCTTCATTGTCATCATTACATGTTATGGACCCGTTTTTCAAATCAACAGTATTAGGGATGAAACCATAGTTTTTCCTTCTGTAATGGAATTTCCAGTTGACGGGTCTATATAAAGTCTATCAATTTTCAATTCTTCATGAGGGTGTATTGTAATGGTGTGGCTAATTACTTCACTGAATAAGGAATGTTTATCCGAACAATTGATACAAAGAAAATCTGGCCAGTTGTCCATCTGTAAATAAATCTTCATGATAAAAGCATAATTTATTATAGCATCCATTTGTTACCGTTCTGAATCCAAATGATACATAGTTGAATCCATTTGATACATATATGTTGACATTTACGAAATGTTGTTCAAATATCTTCCCTATAACAGGAATATGCTAGCTGAAACTTTCACACATTGTCATACTATGTATATTGAATATGTATGCAAGATTTCAAGTCAATATGTTAAGTAGAAACTCTGAGATCACTTACCTCGATTTTCTGTCATATTTTTTCAACGACCCCATTCACTATAATGTACGCGAGAACCCACGAAACATTGCATATAAATGACTGCATCCACATTGATCGACTAGCCACTGTGCAAATGTGGAATTTCTTGCAATTTCTAGACGTAGGATGGTCTACAAACTCCGCGTATCTACGGGAGAGGCAACTTAAATGAATATGCTAATTGCGTCCATAGGCAAGGCGAGGGGGGGGGGTGCAATAAAAATAAAACCACGAGAAAGAAAAAGCTCAATTTTGAAGAAATTTTTGTAAAATTCAAAATAAATCTTATTTTCATGGGTTGTTTATGCAACAATCGCAACCCCGTGACTGAAAACCGAAAAGTTTTTGGCGATTGCACCCCCCCCCATCCTGAATGAAAGCTGGCTTCGCCCCTGCCCTATATCAATTAGTAATGATACATTGCATACACAATATGAACACATAGTTTTTTCATCCATTTGGTCAGACGCACAATAATAATACTATTCTTGTATCTTGCTTGATACCCGGGGCTTGATGTAACAACTTGATAGATGCCCGGGAAAAAATATTTTTACTAGTTATCAATACAGCTTGTTTGGTATTTTACAACCTTTAAACAGTACGTGATTTATTATTCAATCATATATGTAAAACGTCGTGGTATACGTGAACAGTTTGTTATACAAAACATGGGCTCTATCGGTGGTAGAGCCCATGTACAAAATAATAAATAAAATAGATAAAAGATAAAAAGAAATCAGTATATTTCAGTGAAAATATGTCTAAATTATGAATGTTGATCATAATTGCTTATAACAATATACATTCATCTGATTCGATAATTAATTTATTCTAGATTTCAATCATTAGTCTCAAGGCGTGCCAAGACTTTTTGTCACACTCTAAGCACGTCTTTGCACTGCGTGTGCTTAGACGTGCCTAGAGATGTCTAGAGTTGGTTTCATCGCGTACCTAGACGTGTCAAAACTAGTCACGCCTAAGCACCCGGCGTGCTTAGACTTAGTTTCTAGACGTGCTTAGTCTAGAAATTCCATTTTTCACGCAGTGTCCTAGTCCGTTCATGTGCCAAATTTGGTAGAGATATGTACACAGGGACTTGCTGCCTCGGAAAAGTCCCACTACTTATGAATCCCCCCTCGTATAACAATATTTCTTTTCTAACAATGTTTCAAAAATAATTGCAAGCACATCATGAACATGATTACAGCAAGCTATTTTATTTAGAATATCTGTCTTAGAATATCAGTTTTATTTGTTAAGAGAAACAGTGTTTTAAGTATGCAATGATGTAATCTCTGATACTGAAGAATACGGATGCTGCAGTAGACATCAGTGATGGATTTAGGGATTTATGCACCGAACAGAATTCCAGATATCATATCTTAAGATTTAAGAATATAACAATTAAAGAGAAACACCAAAATCAAACATATTTCAACTCAAAACTTCCATAAATTAAAACTCATATTTTTGTCATGGGTTCCAAAGCTTTATTATTCAGTTGGCATTCAGCCTGTATGAATGTGCCATAATTAACTTAAAAACTGAGATACATCCCTAGCAGTTGAGTCAAGCTGAACTTTACAGAGATAAACAATGACATTGAAACAAATGCCAGGCTTGGCTGATCTGCAGTTCCGAGAACTGATTAACAAACAAATGTGGTAATCTAATTATGAAACAATGCGAAGTAAAAAATGAAATATTGAAAATACTTCACAGACTCATTTACATTACATTGAGTAAGGTTGTTCCTGATAACAAGAATACTTATAAGCCTGAAGTTGACAAAGCTAGTGTTTCAAACATTTGTTATTGAATACCACGTTACAGAAACAGATTGTGACATTTGAAATATTAGGTAAGTATTATTTTATATTTATTCATTCGTATCCAACTCATTAGCGCAGTCAGATGTCCAGAAATGAGCCCTTTATAGTTCGACTTTTTCAGGAAAGCAACAAACTTGGCACAGTTGTAGAAACACTTGATCTGAGTGGAAAATGATTTCGGGGCAAGTGATCCGGAGTGGTCTTCATGGATTTTTTAGTCTCTGACCCCAACCCCTATCAGGCGGGGAGGGGGTACATTATAAAAAATAAATAAAAATGGTTGTGAAGTAAATTTTTTTAAATGACTTCATTTGGTGATTGCTCTGAGCCTTGAAATTGAGACAAACTGATTGTAGATGTGGTGTTAAGTGTGGAAAATGCATTTTGACCCAATTATCTAGCGTGAATTCATCTTTTAAAGGGTCAAATATGGGACATCAAGTACTGTATTTCAAGAATGTGATGTCTGATCATCTTGGAAAAATTCACACTAATAGGGGTATAAGTGTTTATCACAAATATAGAATATGGCTTGGGTAGCTCATGTATTTTTTGAAATAAAAATTATCGAAATTTGAATTTCTAAGCCCTTGCGGCCTAGGGGTAACCTTATTCTACCTTAATAATTTTTAAGATATGCAATGTATGGGTCTCATATGAGCTCAAAATGGTGCATTGAGTCTTGTTTTGTCATATTATTCCTAATTGGATTGAAAAATGATTGGAACTTTTCAAAAAAAAAAAAATTTCATTATCCCTTCTGAAGCGCCAGGGGTAACCATATTTTACCTTAATAACTTTCAAGGTTTGTAATATATGTATCCCAAATTAGCTCAAGATGATGCATATAGTTCTGTTTAATCATAATACCTCCAATAAGATGTAGAAAATGATTGGACATTTCTTAAAATTTGAAATTTTCATTTTAGCTTATGATGGCCTGGGGGGGGGGGCTTATTTAACCTTGAACTTTTCTTAATTATGAGACGTATGCATATCAAATGAGTTTAGAATTGTGTCATATACTCTTGTTTTGTCACATTATTCCTTAGGAGATGTAAAAAATAATGGAAATTTGAAAAATAACATTTTTAGCTTTTGACAGGTCAGGGGTGATTTTATCATATATTACCATAATATAGAAGCAAAGGATGGAGTGAGTTTAGCAGCCCCGTCCCCATGACCGATGCCATTGGCAGCTTGGGTCTTAAAGCATTTATGACCCAAGCTGCAATAAACCATGCTGACCTATTCTCAACCAATCAGCGAGCTTGAAGGAACAAGTGGTAAATGCGTGCACATTAATGATGCGATTTCGTCAGAGAAAATGACCATATAGAAAGCCCTCCTTATTTCGACAACAAACTCTGATTAGCGCAGTGAGTTCAGAGATTCATTGAAAACTGATAGAGTGAAGACGAAGCTCTCTTTTGAGAAGGAAAGTCGAATGAATGCAAAGGGTAGTAAGTCCAGTCACCTTAGCCTGATGGGGGGGTTAATAGGTGAGCTGCTTCTGTCAAGGATTCTGTCAGTGAATAATGACAGTCAATGATTGGGCACAAGAATGCCAAATGTTATCACAATAATTTTCAAGATAAAATGATCTCAAAATGGGGAAAATAGTCTGTTTTTCACTTTATTCCTACTGAGATAATGATTAACAACAATTAGAAAATTCAGTGACACATTTAAATCTCAATCCATTTATTCCATTTTTCCATAGCAGTAAAATACAGATGTAACATCACATCCAATGATTGTATGAGAAATGGGGAGGATTAAACTTTGGTCATGGGCAGGTAGATATTGATATGTTTTCTCCCTTACCATATGCTATCCAAATTGACTTTTTCAGTTTTTAACATCACATATATGCCAGGATAACCACATCAGAATTAAATGTAAGAAGTATAATTCTTTCTCTTGAAGGCCATGATTGAAGCAGTCTAACTAAAAATATTGAGAAATATCCTTGAATCTGCTTCTTCTTATAAGAGCAAGGGTGATGGCAGAACCTCAATGTTGGGCTAAAACATTGCATTGCCTCCTTAATTTATGTGGTCACTATCTTCTTTCCATACATTTCAAGGGTTTCAGTTTCCTCCTTAGACCATCCTTGTTCCAGTTCCACAAGTCTCTCTAGTGCTGTTTTAAAGGTGCAACAATTAGTGCAAAGGGGCCATTCAACGATCATGGACCAGTGTCAAAATATATTCAAGTTTTGATATTTCATCAAGACTAACATATATGTTTATTTCTTTCCAAAGAAACCCCCTGGATGAACATTATTTCAGCTGATTCCTCTTGAAATGTTTTGGATCTTAAAAACCTATAAGTGGGACTCCCTTTATAGAAGCTTTGAACTGAATTTACACTTCTTAATGCTGAAATTGATAGTTTATCCATACATTTTAAGAAAATAGGTATGTCAAAGCCAAATATTGCCCTGATAGCTCAGAAAAAGTAACAAAATTGAATCTTCTACAGACCTTGTTGCCCCTTTAAGCTAGTGTCCTTGTACACATCCCAGCTGACATCAAGGCAATGAACTATTTGCAGACTTTTACGTGGGTAATATCATATTTGCATAATCACCAAATCTTCTTTATATTTCACTGTTAGCATGTTTAACTATACATGCCCTGTCTATTATTTTGGCATCTACTATGTAGCTTAGTCATTCAACTTTGATGTTAATGAGCATAGATACAAACAGCACAAAACTGGAACAGTGAGGAAAGTATATCCTACTAATTTTCTTCTGTGGAATTGGCAAGATTTCCTAAGATGGTTGGAACAAGAGGGAGCTGTTTTCCTTCCAGGCATCAAAACTGAAACCCTGGAGGAAGATGGCAAGAAGATAGTGACCTCACAATGAGGTAATGCAATATCTTAGCCCGATAGTGAAGTATCTGCCATCACCATTCGCTCATATGAAGAAGCATGTCAAAGACTGCTTCTGTCATGACCTAATAAGAATCATAGTCAATACAGTTGATTTTGATGTGGTTTAAACTGGCAGTAACTTGTGCTGAAAATGTCAATTTGGATTGCATATGGCCTATGGTGAGGGGAAATTCCTCCAGTATGTACGACCTGCCTTAGATATTTCAAGGCAACTAGGCCATGAACGAAGTTTAGCCCTTACCATTTTTCATACAATCACTAGATGCATTCTGCTACTACTCTTAGTCAACTGATTTGCAGGAATAGAAGGTGTACCCAGAGGTTATGCAAGTGTTCTTAAGCTTTAATTCTTTTTTGATACCCTAAAATTAGAAGACTAGAGTCCTTATTCATTCTGATGCATTCTTACCCACAGTTTCTATCACCACACGAATGTGGCAGGACTACTCCCACTGCTGATACTGAGGCCACAACATAAAATGTAGGTCATGGGGTAGATACCTGTGTCAAGAGAACAGATGCAAATGTTTGAAAGCAGATCTGATTTGCTCTGGACTTATCAAACATTTGCATATCTTAGAAAATGTTCTATAAAACTAGATAGTATTGCCATTGGTACTAAAAAGGAATAAATGGCTGTTGAGGTTCATTTTTTTAATAATTGTTAATCATTATTGTATATCTCAGTAGCAATAATATGACAAAACTAGACTATATTCACTATTTTGAGCTCATTTGAGTAGACAATATGATATATCTTTGTTTAAATTTTTAAGGTAAAATTAGGTCATTCCTGACCTATCATGAACTACACTACCAATCTCAAACTGCATCAAACAGCATGGTTTCATAAACAGTGCTGTAAAAACAGTACTGAACACAGCTGTTTTCTAAAACAGTACTGAGCTGTAAAAACAGTACTGTACTATGCTGTCCAAAACAGATGGTATTAGAATAACATTGTACATTGCTATATAGTGCAGTACTCTGACTGCACTGTTCAGTACTGTTAACAGCGCTGCAAGAAGATGTTGCGGATTGGGGGTGTAATATGAAAATGTCATTTTCTTATAACTTCCAATCATTTTTTCACTCCTTGGGAATGATATGATAAAACAGGACTAAATATACCATCTTAAGCTCATTTGAGGTGACTATGTCTCATATTTAGAAAATTATTAAGGTAAAATAAGGTTACCCCAGGGCCATCAAGAGCTTAAGTGAAAATTTTGATTTTTTAGATATATCCGATCATTTTCTACATCTTATTGGAGGTATTATGATTAAACAGAACTATATGCAACATCTTGAGCTAATTTGAGATGCATATATTACATATCTAGGAAATTATTAGGGTAAAATATGGTTACCCCTGGCCCTTTAGAACCGAAAATGAAAATTTGATTTTTTTTTAATTTCCAATAATGTTTTCACATTTAATTAGGAATAATATGACAAAACAATACTTAATGCAACATTTAGAATTCATATGAGGCCCAAACATTGCGTATCTTAAAAATTATTAAGGTAAAATAAGGTCACCCCTAGGCCGCAAGGGCTTAAATATCCATATTTCGATAATTTATTTCTCAAAAATTACATGAGCTACACAAGCCATATATCATATGAGTGATTAACACCTATATCTCTATTAGTATGAATTTTTTCAGGATGATCAGACATCACATTCTTGAAATACAGTACTTGATGTCCCATATTTGACCCTTTGAAAGGTGAATTCACGCTAGATAATTGGGTTAAAATGTATTTTCCTTCCTAAACACCACTTCTAAAATAGGTTTTTCTCAATTTCAAGGCTCAAAGCAATCACCAAATGAAGTCATTTAAAGAAATATACTTTACAACTATTTTTATTTATTTTATTATAATGTACCCCCTCCCCGCCTGATAGGGGTGGGGGTCAGAGGCTTACAATCCATGAAGACCACCCCGAATCACTTGCCCCGAAATCATTTTTCATTCAGATCATATGTTTCTACAACTGTGCCAAGTTTGTTGCTTTCCTGAAAAAGTCGAACTACCAAAGGGACATCTGACTGCGCTACATATGACGTCTTAAAAGTAGTATCCTTCGGATACAATATTTTTATCAGTTTTGGATTTGGAGCAAATAACCACTTGTATGTTTGATCTGCAATAATATAGTTCCAAGATTATGTGACCAGTAAAATTTGAGTTAAATTTTTTCATGCAATCATTTTGTAAAAATAAGTTCGCAAAAAAAATTAAAAAATTAGAAAAGATTAACAACTTTTAGGTCAGGTTATTTCAAGCCAATACAAAACTAGCAACCATAAGATAAATATGATATCCTATAATGATATCCTATAATGTTCATCTTTAATATACATCTGTAGGTCACCTGATAACATGGCTCAAGCGTCCTCTAGTACATATACCAGTAACCTTGATGAACATGAAGAAAGGGTTGCCAAGGAACTATGTGCTCTCACAGCAGAAGTATTCCGAGATCATGAGAAGGAGGCAATGAAAATAATTGAACTGGGGAATATTTACAAAGAACGTTGTAAGAAGGAGACAAATGACAGAGAGGTCTATGTTCATGCTGTGGCACTATATAATGGTGCAAAGGCCTGTCTTAATGCTGTTCCTAACAACTTGTCCAAATATGACATGTACACTAAAAAAATCAAAGCAGCATGTGATGAGATAAACAATCTCTATTTGAGTAACATTGTGAATGGATCAACAGCGCCACCCTATAAAAAACTCAAAAGAGATGAAGGACATGAAACAGAACCAAAATTAAACAACGATAAAAAGGAAATTACAGATTTCCGGAAAAAACTTAAAGGTGGCATGAACAAGGTCGTTGAAGTGTGGGATAGGTGCCCCAAACCTAACACAGGGAAAAATCCAAAATATAAAAATGAGTTAAATGATGCAACTAAATCTATTTGTCAAGACAATACAAATTTTGTGAAGAAATTCAGCTCTGGGATAATGGAACGATGTATCTCAGTATGTGGACCTCCTCCCTGTAGATTCACCATGGTGGGTCTAGGGTCACTAGCCCGAGGTGAATCTACTCCATACTCCGATTTGGAGTACCTGTTTTTGACGGCCGATGACAGGTATGATGAGTATTTCCTCAACTTGCATTTTTATTTCCAAATGCAAGTACTTAACCTTGGAGAGACTCCTCTACCAGCTGTGGGAATCAATTCCCTGAATGACTTTTACAACCCACACGTTTCAAATAACTTCTATGATGATGTTACACCTAGTGGCTTTAAACTAGATGGCAACATGCCATGGGCCTGTAAAATACCCCCAGGTCACAAAGGAACCATAAGGAAAGAACCACTGAAACTCATCGGTACTCCAAAATATATGGCAGAGCTTAGTACAACTGAAGCAGATAAGAAACATGGCTATCACTTAGCAACCATCATCTCCACGGCAACCAGAATTATGGGAGACGAGGAACTGTTCAATACATTCCGAGATCTATTACTGACTGTCCGAGGGAGTGAAAATGCTGAACATATGTATGAAGCCTGTTTAGAACGTTTGAAAGAGGACTGTAAAAAGTATGAGTTCACAATAGACAACCTGAGTGTACTAAGTAGAAATGCCAAGAAAGATTACTATAGATTTCCATCTATCTTGGTGAACAATCTTAAAGACATATACGGTATTCAAAAAACATCTCCCTGGGATATAATCGATGAGTTACAGGCACATATGAGTTCTGATTCCTGCTCTGATCTGTTGTTCATGGTGAACATTGTCATTGGACTTCGTCTGTACACATACTGCATGAAGAATCAACAACATGAGCTCGTCATAGCCAGCCATGACTTATTCCCTAAAGATCTCCCTTCAGCACAAGATCGCATGTCAAAATCTGAATCAGTGTCGAGGGAAGCTCTCCCTATCCCATTTACAAATCTCCTGGAAAATTACTTTCTGAGGTACATGAGTTCATCCGTTTCTGTATCTGCACGATTAGAGGAACCAATCCAAAAGAGTCTGGATGGTTCTCCGCTATTGATGAAATCATGTCCACTGTATTGTGATTGCAAATACTGCCTCCTGCGTGTCAAGATCCTGACTGCTTACGTGGCAAAAGATGATATCATCGATGACCCAGATGTGGTGTTGGCATCCGCACAAAATACATGGCATCACAAAATAAAACCAATCACTCGAAAGAATGTTGTAATAGATATTGCTGTCTGTTTTTACACAAAGGGAGACAATGTATCACGATTACAGGTTCTAAAGAATGAACTTCAGAACAACAAGGATCTATCACAAGCCCTGAAAGCACGCTACACATATATGATAGCACGGTGTCATTTGGACCTCAAAGAGTACCCACCTGCTCTCGAGAACATTGATGCTGCTATAGCTGAGTACCCAAAGGAGCGACTTCTTGCACCAATGATCATCAAATTAGATATCCTGTGTAATATGGAAGAATATGAAAAGCTGATAAGCTGTAGCCAGGAATGTCTGCGACTCCAAACTGACCCTGAATGTAAGCCTTGGGTTGACAAAAGCACTGATACTCTGTGGATATATTTCTACTACACTCCTGCTTTGATTCACTTTAAGGAGTATGAGAAAGCGTTGGATTACCTGATCAAAGCTAAACCTCTGTGTATAGAGGTAGTTGGAGAAACACATTGGAGAACCAAAACCATATTAGAGAGAATGGCTACCTGCTATACAGCTCTTGGTCAACATGAACAGGCAAGTCTTATGAAAGACATGATGTAAATAAAATATCAAAGACCTATGCAAAAAGTAGTACTAAGCTTAGTATAGGCTGCTACTGTGCTCAGCAAAGAACTAGTAAGTAATACTAAACGTAGCATACATGTAGGACTAGGACTTCTGAGCAAGGATTTATTTTTAGCCTATTTCATCGAAGGAGCTTCCGAGAAGAAGAGTAGATTACATGCACTCTACCAGCCTCCTTAGTTAATTCCAAAAATAGCTCTAGCTGTAGATTGTAAACAGTTCATTCATTTCTGAAATTGCAACACAGGTTGAAAGAATATATTTATTACATGATTTATTACTGGTTATCATAACTGAAATAAGTAATGGTATCAGGTTGTAACTAGCAGTCAATCTTCCTCCTTCCCCCCCCCCCCCCCGGCCAAATCCAAAATCTTTCAAAATCATACAGTTTTTCACCATTCTGAGCACTTTTTAAGTGATTTTGGCCATTTTTAGACCAAAATTGTCACAAGTGAACCCCCCTGGAATTTTTCAAAAAGTGAACCCCCCCCTTGGCAAATCCTGGCTACGGGCCTGATGACTATACAGTACTTAGTTTTCGCTTTGCCCATTAGCATGCAACTGTGCTTTATCTCTTTATGTAATGTAAAGGTTGGGCAAAGAATGATAAGATGGGACAAGCTATAAATGTTGGTAATATCTAATATTTTGGAAAACTAAACTTTTTGAAAGGTAATATTTGTAAAAAAGAATATAAAAGAATGTGTAGCGAAAAGCCATGCATTTATTGGATAACACTAGAATAAATATGTATGAGATTATTAACATTAAGAATTTTAAAGAAATGTATTCTTGGACCCCTGTGATTTGATTGATTTATGTTATTTATTTTATATGTCACAGATATTCTTGAAGATCATTGGCTTATTTATAGTCACCAGATACAATTCACATGAAGATGGACAAATTCCAAGTATAATTCTTGGACAGGATTTTTCTCCTGAAAAAAAATGTTTGCACGTCTGACTATTTCCTAAAAGACGCTTGCGCTTTTTAGATTTGCAATTTTCTGGATTTTTGAGACATTTATAAAAACTGTTGGAACATTTCCAATAACCTTTTAAGATTTCAACAATTTTGATGCAAGGCAGTTGCCTTACCAAAATTTCAGAAAAAAATAATTTATATACAGTTTTTAGGATAGGCTATGGTTTTTAGACTGAAAATGTGTACACTTGTCTTATGTAGTACTATAACATCCTAGGCTCACTGGCTTATGTTTTGCCTCATCTATTTACATTGCCTGTTTTTAGATATTGGCTATGGGCCTGTATCATATCAATGTTGTTGACAACTGTGATGGGAAGAACTAGCTTGAATATTATTAAGTAGGAATGATTAATAATTGGGCCACATTTCCATAAATAAGAAGAGTTCATGCTTTTTAAAACTCTGCATTGCATTTTGTCCCTTGTCTGAGACCAATTTGGCAGCAAAAATAAACTTCAACAAGACATTAAAGAGAGAATCGGATATAGCGAGCAGGCTAAACAAAAAATTGTTTCAATTTTAGAATATTTTTGGCTCATGTCATTCCTTGTCATGTCTATTTTCTAAAAATCACAAAAGTGTATACTTTATTCCAGGAAAACTAAAGATTTTTACAATAATGTAATATTTTTCAATATAAGATTGGTTACCATTCTTATTATTTGGGAGAATTTAATCATTTTCACTCATTTTTGCATTTTTAATCATTAATAACTTCACCAATTTATAACATATTGTGAATCTTTTGGGAGATATTGTATTTGATATTGTAAGGAATAGATTGGTAGGTCAATTATACATGTTGCTTGTAATTTTGTCAACCCCTATAGATCAGATTCTGCCTTTAACATGCAAAATGTCACCATCTGCCATTTTTCCAGATGCCAAATGCTGAACACCAACCACTGACTGATGAACGCAGAACACCAACCATCAAATAGCATCCACAAAAACTTGAACACTATAACAACATGTCACCACTTGTGATGGTGACATTACCATTATCATTTTGACTTGAAAGAGAGTCATCTATTCAAAATGTTCATAGGTTTTATGCCTAAATAAATCATATTTTATTTAATCCCCTGCTTGAGCGACACGAGTATTGTTTTTTCTGTGTGATGCATATATATAGGTTTGGTATTTCATCAAGGTTTGTACCATATCATCACTATCACATTTTTCTCATCATTTGATCATCTATTTATCACACTGGTTATTCGATCATTAGTTTATCCCAAAACAGTGCCATTACTAAATGACATTGGGAAGGACCCATAGAACTCAGAGCTGCATAACTGATTCCCTGGAAAGTATGATTTGCCACAAACGAAAATGTTACAATGCAGTTACTTCTAGCAATATCTGCTACCATAGCAACGACCAATATGACTATCCAGGGGTTCAGCAAAAACAAACACAAGTCAAGCTCACCTGGATACATATGAACTGCCTTCTGTGCTGCAGCCAGTCTGTCTTTTGAAGCACCTCCTGTGCCCAGGTCACTAACAACTGCAGCACGGACAATCCCAGGGCTAGCATCAGCGTTTTTTGTATGTGCAATACGAGCGCAATGTGCCCCTGCTGCACTAAGGCGAGGCCAGTATTGCGCTATATGTTCTGAAGTGAGTAACCACAGCCTACCATTGCCAGGGTCTGTGTGAAGACTCTTTGCAAATGTACGTTTTGCTCCATTGAAGTCATTCTAATAGAAAAAAGAACACATCAATTAATAATTTATACAATAATTAATATATAGGGTATATTCTAGCAAATATTCTATACAGGGTGACCCAATATCACCCAAAAGTGCAATACACTAATTTTGGAATAACTATTGTAAGTTTTAGGACATTCTTCTTGAATTTATCTGTGTACAGTATTATAGAATGGCTAATAAAGGAAATAGATATTGCATGTATGAATCGAAAGTTTTCATCAACATTAAAATAAATTGTAGAATAAAATTTGTAATAAATCTTTCCCACCAAATCCTGATACCACAATTACCAAAGCTAATATTTAGTTACACCTGTCTCCAGTTTGTCAGTAATTCTACACATGAAACCCATTGATTATTACCTGTTGTAGTAGAATTGAACTTTGAAGATAACAAATGACATCAGATTTGGCGTCACATTTTGAGAACTCATTGAGTACAGCAGTTGCTAGGGTTGGGTCTTTCTGTAGGAGACCAAGACTGCACAGGGCTTCTAGACCACCAGTAGAGGGTGTACTGAATTGTGAGCTAAAACAAATGATTGATTACTGAATTTAAGTTTCTGGGATGAATCCAAAAGACCTTGACAAACTATACTTGTGAACCAACCTATTTTTGATTCTACAATCATGTCGAATAAAAGGAAAAGTTGGAAAAAATCTCAAATCTAAAGTCAGATTTGAACTTCTGGGACATTGTAGATGATTTTGAAAAAAAATTGATCAATTTGAGGAAAGTTGACAAAATACATTTTGTGACCTAAGGTGATGAAGAAAAAAGATTGATGTCAGTCTAAACAGTATTTGTTAAGTTATTGGAAGTTGTAAGAATTTGTTACAGATGCCAACCGCTGACCACCACCCGCCGATTGCCAACCACCAACCGCTGTCACAAAAAACGCTGAGCACCAACTGCCATACAGACACCAACCGACATCACAAAGAAACAGAGATCAAATATGTCACCACTTTGTAACTAGTCAATTCTTGTTTTTTTTTTGACTAGTATATTTACATTTGGCATTACCTTTGAAACAGGGCTGATTTGGCATCTGCTAGATCATTAAACTTGAATGCTACCATACCAAGAGCCGCATAAACATGGGACTTATCTTCATCACATGGAGCCAGAGTAAGGGCCTGCTCATATGCTGAAAAGAAACACAATACAAAACTCATGTGATTAAATATAACATAATGATCAAGAAGAGACAAGTCAATAAATATGTGGTCTTGATTTCAAATATGAGGCTTCCTAATTGCTTGTTACAGTCTGATAATGTTGATTGGCTACTTTATATTTTCTTCAGAAACAATATTTTCTATAGAACAATTACAGACACCTCCTGTAGTCTTAGTTTATAGCGTCGAAATATAATTTTAATGGCTAATTCTTGGATTAACACAGTTCTCATCTGTAGAGACGAACAATTGTATTATTCTACCTTGATAGCTCTGTGTGAGGTCATTATTATGATAGTAGGCAAGACCCATCCAGCATAAATCTTCAAATTTCCCTAGTGCCCCCACTGCCTGATAGATGGCGATAGACTCCTTGTACTGTTTCACACCACTAAAACAACAAAAAACATAATCAACAAAACAAAATATTTGCCATTCATTAATATTTTTGATTTGAATGGAATGAAGTCATAATTTGAGGAGATTTCAAAATCGATGTGAATTCCTGCATTTAGGCATCTGTTTCATTTAGGATTTTCTGAGGCAGAGATGTTTGCATTGTGTAAAGTGCAGTATTCTACTTACACGAGAGCTCTTGCACAATTCAGTTTAACACTAGTCAGCCTTTCATCATTTGTTTCTTTTAATATCTCTATAGCCCTGAAATAAACATAAAATACTGTATTCCAAATACTTTCAGGTCAATGTAAATATACTGTATGTTTCATGGGTTTCATTTTAGTTTTTGATTTATGGTGTCAGGTCAAGTGGATTAACTGATATTTTTGCTAGAATCCAAATATGGATGTAACGTTACTATGAGCTTGAGTTTCTGTCCAATGAATGGGAAATTGACAGACGATCAGGCTACCACGTGTACTTACTTTTTATAGGCCACTATTGCTGGACGTAAGAGTTTCTGCTGCTCTAAGATCAAACCATACAGGTTGAATGCTGTATCGTCATTTTCAATACCATCTGAAAGAATCATGAAGCTCAATGTTATTTGTCAGATTGCTTTTTGCATTTCTGTATGATTCCTGTATTCAAAATAAGACACACAGTGAAAAATACCACATTTTTCATCAAACAAAATCAGAATGGCCACGAATTAATTTACCCAGGATGTCCAAAACCTAATCAAATCTTGGCACTTGTTTGCTCTTTCACTGCAAACATTTTGTAAAAGAAAGTTGAATTGATAAGCTGTTTACCTGGAATTTTACGTGGCGCCAACCCACATACATTCACATGACCATCAGTAGAACATCATGACAATGACAGCAATTTGAAAAAGTGCGATAAAATATTGTTGTCCTATCATATTGGAATTTTATCTTGGAACAAATAAGACTTGTTACCTGTGAAATGTGAGAGTGCATCTGCACTAGCAGGGATGGCTGCCATATGTTGTATATTATAGGAGTAAGCTTCATTCTGCATCTTTGTGCTGTCTTGTAGAGTGGCACACACCCAGCTTGCATACCCGAGACCTGCCTCATTCTATAACATAAAATTTACACATATTTGTATACATCATGAAGATTATATATAAATAGCAATTTGATACCTGCCTCATTCTAGAATATATGAAGTTTAGGGACCATGTCAGGAACTATATACATGTATTCAGTATATTTGTCCCAGATTAGAATAGTAATGACTAAAAACCTAATTATATCTTGAAAAGTTGGATGCATTATCAGACTTATTTACATGAATAAATTGAAACTGAATTAAATTCAAAATAAATAACCAAATAAATAAACATGACATACATGGTTGGCTAGTTCTGTTGAGTGCCTAAAGAGATCCATTGCATCATCATCACCGACAGTCTCAGCAATCAGAGCCTGCCCAATCCAACAGTTCACATAGCTGGGCTCCAAGGACTGAGCAATCTTAAAGGCCTCATGTGCCAATTCAATATGGCTGGTTTGCAAGTAAAGAACTCCAAGATTGGTCCAAGCAACAACACTGCTTTCCTGGTTGATGGATTTAATAAAGCAATGTTGAGCAAGAGCGTTATCCTGGCACCCTGGTGAGCATGCTACACAGCCAAGGGCATTCCACAGGTTGGCATTAGTTGGGTCCTTAACCAGAGCTTGTTTTAGGATCGCAATAGATTTCTTTATGAGATCTGCTTGTGCCGTTGCTGGTGCATGTTGGGATTGTCGAAAATAGTTGTTACCGAGGTCATACCAAATTGATGTGCATTCTGGGAGACATTTCAGTGCTTTTCCGAAACATCTGTAAAGCATATTACATGTACATGTATATGATAATGAGTACTTTAAATGATGCATTTTACCTTTCAAAAGTACATCAGACTAGACATGCAGTTTTCAAGTTGTTCAATACACATCCAAATTTTGATTATTCTTTTCAACAATAAAAATGACATCTCAGTCATGAAAAAATCCTCAAATATCCACCAACTCTAAAAAATATGCTCAAATTTTCAGATATTGTACTTGTATTTTAAAACATTATAGCAGAGTTCATACCTAGCTCCTAAAGCCAGCAGTTCCAACTTATCGCATGTTCCCTCTTCATCTTTTCCTAGAAGTTTCCCAGGGATCTTAACTTGAAGTTTTGTTGCTGGGAGAGAGTGCAATATTGTGCAGGCATCACCCAATAGCTTCCAAACACAGCCTAGATCTGGCCGTACACTAGCTGCACTGTTGAAACATAGAAGACAAGTCCTATTAGTTACAATGTCACTCTTACAATTTCAGGCCTGAGTTGTTCGGATTACGAGATATAATGGTGTTAATGGATAAACATGTTCATGTTTTACTGTACATGGGTCTAGTGTACATAGGTATACTGTACATAGGTCTAATGTACAAACCTAGTGAGCATTGATATGGCCTGTTGACACTCATCTACAGCTCTGCCATAGAAACAATTTTGCAGAGAAGATTTCACTAGCAGAAGGTATGTCTCCCCAACACCTATAAATACAAGTATAAGGGTTATGTACTGGGAAGTTTTACATACAGGATTGATCTTGAGGTCATTAAGGTCAAACATTCTAATTGTACATTGCTATGTTGCTCAGAACACTAAATTTGTTATTATGAACATTGAGAATGAACATATAAAATAATTGAACAAAAAAGATTTTGATTGAAAAATTATGATTTATTTCTTAATTTTACCCCTTGGTGATGAAAGAGTTAACTTTTTCAACTTTGTCACCAGCTACCATCCTTAAAGCTCTCACCTTTCCAATGGTGTATTGGAGTCTTAAAATCTTAGTCATTTGTTTTTCATTCAAGAGGGGTCTACTTTACACAAGTATTAATATAAAGTTAATTTTTCAACTTCAACATATTTAAGATAGATCAAGAAGTTTTAGTCAATGAGAAATAAAATATCAATCTCTAACAATGTATAATTTTTAAAATCAAAAACTAATAGAAGTATCAATTTTTAGTCCAGCTGTTGGTATAGTAAACTATAAATTTAAAAAAATCATATTTACTACCTTTCAATGCAGGGACATATGTAGGCTCAATCTCCAGCACACTCTTATATTCTGCAACTGCCTCAGCTAGTTGACCCAGAGATTGTTTGATGGTGGCAATCTGGTAGCGAGCGTACATGGAGGAAGGCTCAAGTTCCAAGGCTCTGGAGAACGCCTTCATTGCAGCAGTGAAACTTCCTCGACTCATGTATGTTTCAGCAAGGCACTCCCATACATGGCTACAAAAAATCATGATGTTAATGTTATAACGTTGGGGCATGAGTTAAAAACAGGCAAGGCAGGTAAGACAAAACTTGAGTCAAAGATGGCATCATATTTCTACTGGACATAATTTTCTCAGCTTTAGTAAAAAAAATATCAAAAAGCTAAATCCATGTGAACATATACAGATAAAAGCTAGAATTCTAAGGGTTGTAGGAAGCCTGCAATAACAGCCTGTACATGTACTCCAATATGACACCACCAACTTGATTCCAACAATCAGACCATAGTGCGTTTGTTAGATCTTCCTCTGTTGATTAGAGAATAAACAAATAACAAGGATTTCAACATGCAAAATTTCACCAGCTGCCATTTGTTACAGACACCAAACACCAACTACTGAACACCAACCACAGGATGCCAAACACTGTCCACAAGATGTCAACACTTCTGCTGGTGACATAAAAACTATTAGATTCTGAATGATGTCTCACTTGTCAGTTGGATCAGCACGTAGTGCACATTGTAAAGCATAAATAGCTTCTGTGGGGTTTCCCCTTTTCAATTCAAGGAGTCCTAGTCTCAACCAGGCCCATTTAGCTTCCCCAGCTGCAGACTGGCCAACAACCTTTAAAAGCATATACACTGGTCATGTTATAAATATAACACCATTATCATAAGGAATATCATACATTTTACAATTAAAAGTGAAAACATATATTAGTATACTATTTGTACAGTACAGTTTCTTTCTTCAAATGATATTTGCAAACAATTTAATTCAACTTTTGTACAGATATATTTTGAAATTAAAAAGTGCCAGTTGTGAATTTATTCTTGAGTAAAGTTCAATAATGGTTTGATATTATTTGGATTATTCATCCAAACTATAGTTCACTTAAGCCAATGTGTCATAATTGTTGCCTGATTTCTATAAAGTAATTTTCAACTAAATAATATTTGCATTTTGTTTAGATTTAAAATCAAACAGCTGATTTCCAAGTCGTCGCTCTGGAGCATCTAAAGGGCTTTAGTTGACTATACCTGTTTTAAAAGATTATATGACAATTCCTCTTCATTCAGCTCATTTAATGTATCAACTAAGGCACACCCAGCAGATTCACTCAATGGATTAAGGTCTACTGCCTTCTGGTAGCATTTCCTCGCCTTCCTGCCAAAACCCCAAAAAATAGTATAATACAAATACAATGATGAAGCTTCTTTAGAGTTGTTACAATGCACCAATTGGATATTTATACATAAGCCATTCTATGGAACAAATTTGATAAATATTGCAATATTGTATATTGCGTTTTACTCTGACTGCACTAAAAACACAAAATATACCAAATCTAGTTATTGGGATGCAAAAAGAAATGTAAGAGGCCTATTAATTCCTGAAAATGTATCTGTGCTGTAACCAATAGAGGAGCAGAAAACTGACAAATTGAGTTTTTGTAAAAATAAATATTACCAGTACTCTTCTACAGATCAAAAAACTCAATATATTTCTTAAATATTGATACATTTTGGCAATGAATGATTGTGATATGTCAAAATGCCTTTTAAAATACAACTATTATAAATATCTAAGTAACATACTGCAAATCCTCAACAGTGTGTTTATAGTAGTGCCCCAGATGTAGAAATATGTCACTGTTGTATGGGTCACACTTAGCTGCCTTCAGGAACATTTGAAATGCCTCTGTTTTGTCTTGGGACTCCCACTTTACCAGAGCAAGTTTGTACTGTGAATCAACTCCATATATAGGAGACTCCAGTGCCTTGGCCAAACTGAAAATGTATATAGTATCATTTGCATTAGTTGTTATCAAAATATCTACAATTCTATTTATGTTTCAGATCGTCATGTAAGTTTGTAAAAAAGGAGAGGCCTAAAAGTATTTTCTATGACGGCTGCCTGCACATAATATTTTTTTAAAATGTATATACATCTTTATGTATTCAATACAGATATAATGTATAGCTGCAAGTAAATGTTATTTGGAGATGACTCGAGTAATCATTAGCCATTCAAATGCTCTAAGGCAATGACAAATATACTGTACCTCTCCAAAGCTAAATCATAGTTCTGCTTTTGGTAATGTAACCATCCACGCAGTGCAGATATAGCAGCCAAATCACTACTGTATTCTTCCTCAAGATCATTCAACACCTAAATCAAAAGGTTCATACATGTACACATTGAAAGATACACATCTTAAAATCTAATACTGCATCAAGGATCATTTTTCTGCAGTGTAACTACACAATAAACCCTGAAGAGATCACTGAAATCATTGATATTGAAAACTTTCAAATAAAATGCAGAATATTCAAGAATATCACTGTAAATGTTATTAAATCATTATTGAACCATATAACTAGGAATATGAAGCACTTAGGGCCAAAGAGGGAAAATATTAAAAAAGTGTTGAAATATACAGCTACTGTATTGATAATTCCACAGAATCCTTTATGAAAAAAACATAAAAATGTGGAAATTTGAAAGTGGTGAATACTGAATACCTTTTGAGCTTCATCTATTTTGTTCTGCTCCACTAACAACAACCCCTGTGTGTACAGTATATCCACATTCTTCACTCCATCTCCAAGCAGTTGTTCACATATTGTACTCCCTTTCTCTAGATTCTGCTTGGAGTCTAAGTAGAGCTTTGCTTGGAGAAGTCTTAGAGTTGAGGAGAACTGAGCTGTCTTTGATGCATATTTAAATGGTTTGGTTTTCAGTAATGATTTACCTGTGAAAAGCAACAAAAACAAATCAATTTTGTTTGTTTGTTTTGCAAGATCCATAAAATACAGAATAATCATTAAACTGCCAGTTAGGGGGTGATCAAATATATGCCACTGTTTATCAAGGTACAGGGCATGCAATGGGTTGCAATCTTCATGCCATGACCTTTAATGAAGACAGTCATTTTGTTAAATAAAAGAAGAATGATAATGCAGTTTGTGAATACATATATTCATTCATACCTTTAATATAAAATATTAAAACATTGCATTGTAAATTTATATTCAAATTATAAAATTCATCATATCTGCAATACAAAATATGTGTGTGTCTGGTTGAATAGCTTACCTTTACTAATGCTTTGTTGAACATTTGGGTGATCATGTAGCTGGAGAGAAGCTTTGGCCTGCAAAATATAGCCACTTATAGACCTTGTCTCTACCTTAAGACCTGTAATGTAATCATCGTGGTTTTAGGATATTTTCAAACTATATTTGGAGATGGACATAGCAGAATACATTGTAAAGAATATCTAAATCTGGTGAGTCATCTGCACTATGAGACCCCCTAAATGTTGGTTAATACTAATACAATTATCACTGTGTTATGTATTATTGTGTCTAATAACACTACATGTACCTTCTGCAATGTGATCCTTGCCTTTAACCCTCTGCTCACTGGATGATGACTTAATCCCCACAGCTCCCTGCACTAAATGTCCGACCCCATCTTCTGGAGTCAGACCAAGCAGAGACTCCCCGTACTCTTGAAGTCTGGACATACCCTCTGATTGGTCATTTATTACAACTGAAAACAGCTCTGAATATGTACATGTAGTTACCAAACAACATACGTCAGTCACAATACACAAAACAACACTACAGGGGTTACAAATCTGGTATTTTGTATATTTAGATAATTAAAAATTAAAAAACTAACCAAGTTTATCCAGATATACCAGACAGAGATATCTCAAGGGCACAGGATCATCAGGTATGATAGAATGCATATGGGTTGAGAATCCTTCCAGTTTCTCAACATCTTCAACCCTAGCCAGGTGCTTCAAATACCCATGTCTATAGAGCAATAGTTCTTCTTTGTCACTCACAGCATCCAGTAAATGGGAATATGTGTCTCCTAATAATTTGAATTGGTCATCTGTTGGTTCTTTCAGATTTTCAATAAGTTGCACTATTTTCTTCAAAATATCAATTTGAGATTGTTCCCCCAATAAGCTCTGAAACAACACAATGGCCTTTTCTGCGTTGCCAAGTTGACTGTAGAGGTCAGCAAGTTTCAATTTGACATCCTTTGATTTTGTCTGGTCTGGTTGTAGATCAATGATAGTTTCGTAAACCTCAGAGAGTGATGCTTTGTGGTCAGGATTTATGCTTTTCTCATAGTACCCAGCTAAACCTTGCCATGCAAGAAGCTGTTTTGGGTCACTTTCAGCTGCACGTTTATATGCCGCAAGGGCCTGCTCTGGCTGTTCCAGTCCTTCAGCTGCCACTCCCACAAACACAAGTGCATTGTAGTTGTCTCCTTCATGTTTCAACACAGACTGGAAAGTGGTGAAGAGGATAGTCTTGTACATTGTATTAAATATATTAGGTGTACTACTGTATGTATTCAATTTATTATTGAAATGTCAAATTACTATTCTGAATAGAATATTCTTTTTTAAATGGCATCATCAGACTGTATTGTATTTTCATGAGAACTAATAATTAATAATTAAATCTATCCAAAATAAATTATTGACTCTAAGGACAAGACATGCAACTTCACAGCTAAAATATCAAACTAAGACCAGCTAGATGTGTCACCTTGCAATGTTTCAGAGCATCTTTGAATTCTTTGCTACGTATGGCATCTCTTGCAGACTTTAGAGCCTGTTTTTTCTCTTTTGCATCCATCTAACTTTGTTGCAGAAATCCCATGTATAATTTTCTTGCCTCTTGATGCCCAATTCCTTGTACTCTTATACTGAAAATTATTGAAAGGTAAGAACAGTTCATATTTTATTTGGAATTAAGATGAGCCACTGGCAGGAACAACTACTGGACATGTACTGTAGATTCTTAAAGGCTGTTGATTTTCAGGAAAAAATTGAAAATCATTTAACCAAACTTTATTCATTAGCCTGTTGGCAGAAATGTGTTGGAACTCATAAAATGTTTATATATGTTCTGCTCAGCTACTACTTAAACATTATTGCAGCTGTACATTGGCAAGAAATGACCTACAGTGCTGTAATAGCCAGTGGCCTTCTTTTCTGGGTTTGCCCCATGGGCTCTACCACCTCTGATAGAGCCCATTGCCCTAACCATTCCATCTTCCAGATTTATTGAATTTTCAAGCAGAAATCAACAGTTCCCCCCCCCCTCTGTCCCATTTTCACGATCACCGGTTGTGACACTGTTGAACTGAGCCAGACTGATTTGGTTAGTTTGCCCTTGATGCACTCTTATATTCATCAAGTTCATTTTTCAAATCAAAATAATTTTGAAAAATGGTTCTGGACTGGACACAAATATAGGGACATCCATAGACAGCTTTTTTGGGCCTTGAATAAAATGAACATAAATATTTATATTTTCCGCCCTATTATTCCTAACAAAAAGGCGCTATATCGAACAGGAGAGGTAAAATGAGATAGACTGATAAAAAAGTATTTTTACCACCGTCCGCCATGACAGGTACTCCCTCATGACGTCATTAATTTAGAAGGAATTTCTAGCAGCAGTTAAACTTTTGAGGGGTGATAGGCCTATATACAAATGCTCTAATTGCATATTGAATCAAAATATAAAAAAGAAAACCGACACCTAATATATAAGATATGTAGAATATAAATAAAAAGGAAATTAACTTATATTTGATAAAATTTGGTCATTATTCCTAAATAGATTTATATGCTAACCCCACTGATAACATAATGGTATCGGCCAAGGGTATCGGCAGACAAAAAATGAAAAAATGGAACAATGACTTCTTGCAGTTCAAGAAATTCCCATGTGAAGGGGAAATCAATCCCAACAAAATACTCCAATCAAAGTAATATAGAGGATAATGATAGTATTGAATGTATTTCTTTGGATGCAAGTGACGAACAAGTATGTGAAAATCGATAAGTATATCTTAGGTTTTTAAATTCCTCTATTATCGCCCAGATGACTGAAATAATCCTAAAGATAGGATATACAACCAACTAACCAATCCTTAAACTCTTTACTGTTATAATCTTGATAAGACTCTATTCACTTTTGGACAGAACGGCGTGTACATGTACAAATAGTCAGTCGCGACAATTTTTCAGTTCAGACGGAACGGAACCAATAAACATATAAAAGTTTGTTTCCGTCTCAGTTACTGTTTGAATTTTCGAAGATCCATGGATTCTGACATTGGAACTGTAGAAGAAATCATAGCTGTAGAGACTCTTAAATCTGAACCCGAAAAAACATCCAAAATGAGTCATCAAATTGAACCAGAAATAACAGAATGTAAATCAAATCAAGACGAATGGACAAATGAGGAATTTAATGATGAAAAACAGTTAAGAAGAAAAAACCCGGAAGCTTTGAAGTGTTTAAATTGTGGCACATATACAGGTTTTGGCTCTTGTCCATATCGGCGAAAAGTCCAAGAATGGATGATTGTTGAAATGCAAAGAAGAGGAGCTGAGTTTGATAATAGAAGGAAATATGTATGTAATCGTTGTAGACTTCATTTGGAAAGAAGTGGAGGAAAAAGAAATAAACAAGAAAGTAAAAGTGTACCTGAAACTGAAAATGATCAGGAAAAGATTGTTGCACAGACTATTAAGAATGATCATACTGAAGCAGACAATACTGATATCAAGAATGATGGAGAGCTAAGTACAATCATTTCTCAAAAAGGGAACAGAAACAGGTACCCAAGAGAAGACGTATGCTGTATCATGTGTAGTACATCTACAGATAAAAAGAAAAGTTTTTATAAAAACAGGAAACTTGTACATAATTGGATGATCGTTGAGCTACAAATTATGGGTGCTGCGTTTGATGTTAATAGAAAATGGGTATGCAATCCATGTTTGTATCAACTTAAAAGAGTGTTCAAGCAGAGAAATGGTGTGGATGTACCTAGAATTGAAAAATATGAAAAAACAGTTGATCCTCAGATACTAGGGAATGAATCTATAGAGTCGAACAAGGCAGGTTCTTCTAATGATAGATTCTCTCTATTACCAAGCTTCAGTAATACAAGTCAGAAAGAAAGCCCCAATTTTAGTAAAGAAGTGAATGACAAAACCAAACTAGAGAATGAATCATCAATGTTCACAAAATATTCTCAAAGTGAAGTTACTGAAATCAAAGATAATGACAAAATTGATCTAACTGATAGTGTTGGTAGTGACGGCAACCAGGAATGTATAAAATCTGAAAGGAATTGGGACAAGAAAAGTCCTGAAGAAGTGAATGATGATGCACAACCAGATGAACAAGATATAGAAATCTTGAAGTGTTTACATTGTGACATGTATATAAATCATGGTGCTATTCAATATTGTGAAAAAGTTCAAGAATGGATGATAGTTGAAATGCGAAGAAGGGGAGCTGAGTTTGATTCTAGAAGGAAGTATATATGTACTCAGTGTAGACACCATCTGGAAAAAAGTGCAGGAAAAAGAAATAAACAAGAAAGTGAAGGTTTATCTGAAACTGAAAATGATCAGGAAATGATTGTTGCAAAGACGCTAAAGAATGATTTTCCTGAAGCTGACAAAGCAGATGTAAGGTGTGACAATGATTGTATGGATAAACACACTAGACATAAGCAGGATAGTGCAAATGAAATGTCTGAAACCACAAAGGATAAATTTAAGAAAAACTATACTGAGACAATCAACATATCTGCTTATGAACTTGAATCAAGTCAAGAAGAAAGTGCTGAGTCTCATAAAGAGATGAATGTTGACTCAAAACAAGAAAAAGAAATATTTACAAAAACTGTCAGTGGTAGAATCCAAGATGACTATAACCAAGACACAACTGACAGTATTAACAGTGACGATGCCCAAAAGTGTATAAAATGTGATAAGAATTGTAACACTAGAAACAAGCATAATTTGATATGGTTAAAACCCAAATTGGTAACACAGAGCTTGATTGACTACCTGAGAGAGCATCGTATGACATTCACACCCACAAGGAGATACTTATGTTACAACTGTAGCCTTATCATAAAACTACCAGAACTGAACGCTTATAAGGTACTTTGTATTGATTTATTTTGGCACAATCTTCAATGTTTGTTTCAACTGCTTTTTCCCTGAAATTGCTAAATAAAATAGAAATCAACAATTTTAACACCAAACTCCTATAAACCATAAGAAATATCAAAAACTGAAATAAAATGTCATTTATTCTCCTAGTTAATTATTTGTGGTATTTAATAGTATAATTTATGACATGTACATGTATAGAGATGGTGCCAATATAAAACATTAGAAAGTACGTTTGTTTATAGTTAATTACCCTTCTGATTATATTAACTCAACTCTGCCTAAGCAGTACTGGTTAGTACAATATGCATATGCATGTACATTTGAGCAAATAAGAACTTTCATTTTATACGTTTTTGAATTATTCTTATGGTTTTTAGATGTCCAGAAATTAGCATCAGACCAATCAATGACAATTTGTGGTGTCACACATGGATGCAATATTTCATTTTTTAAAGTCAAAATCATGTAATGAAAAATTTGTGGCTTAATAAGAAAGAATATATTTCCAGGAATCCTACAAACATAATGCTACCACGACAACCAAGAAGGAGATGAAAGTTTTGAAGTTTGCTAATCCTGGGAAGTTTATGGAAGATTTCAATCCTGAGACAAGTGCCAGAGAGTTACGTAAAGTCAACCGAAAGATCATCAAACAAACGTAAGATGCCTATTTATTTCAAAAGTATTTGTGTATCCAAAGTGAATTACAAATTGTATTGCAATATAAAAATCCAACATTAGATATTAAGAAATATCGACCACACCATGACACCAGACTTTAAAAGCATATTACGATTTACATAGGATAAAATGGTTAAAAATAACATTTTTTCTGCCTATAGACATGATTGCCTGGTCTAACACCTTCTTTGGTGAACCTCTTTTCGAAATATGCATGAAGATCCATTCAAAGTCAATGTTTGAACCTTTAAAAGTCAAACTTAAAGTGAGGATTGAAAAAATTCTTAGAACTTTTATTTTGCTCAGTAGATCGTAAATAAATTTATGACGCAAGTCGAATAATATCGATATTGTGATAGTGAAATGGGGGAGTCAAAACAGAACTAATAGAATTTGTAGTATTACTTAGCATCCAAAGATCATTTAGAAGCATTTGAAATCGAATCAACGGCAAAATTTGAAATAACTGGTATCTTTATCACTTCTTTATCTTCTTCACTGACGTCAGAGAACAGACTATGAAGAGCCAAATTCAAATGTATCTTAACTTGGTAAAGTATCAGCTGCTTCAGATGTCAATCACTCCCCAAAAGTATTTTAGATTTTTAAAAATAGCCTACTGTATTCATCTTTAATTTTATGCTACTAATTTGTGATTTTGGGAGAACGGACTTTTTGGCATCTTTTAGGTACAGGTTTTTCAAAGGGATAAATCTCATATCTATTTACTCATTATCAGTGTTGTTGATTAACAGTATCTTCGAATGTTTATAAATTTAAAAGACCCTGGCCATCTTGTTATGTTTCTTATAACTGGAAGTGCACTGAATGAAAAACATGTCAAATTCCAAGGAATTTTGGTGAGTATTTAATTTGGAGATTTATTGGATTAGTCAAATTTGCCAAATTAAAACAATCGCCAAATTAAAGACAAATACAGTATCTTTAACATTATCATACAAATATTTCTTTAATGTCCATTATTATGTCATTGAAATAAGATTTTTTTTTTTTTTTTTTAATTTTATATTTCCTTTATTTCATAATACATCATACAAACAGATACAAGGCCTACGCCGAAGCATTATTGGCCCTGTTAAAGTAGTTACAATATAGGTTTAAATAGGTCACAATGCAAAAATGATAGATATAAAACATATTTATGAACATGAAAATAATCATGAAAGCATGAAGACAGGTCAGAGATATATGTACATATTAATGAATATTTGACTATTTAACTTCCTTGACAATAGTGTGTAAAAATTCGGCTGTTAATTCAATAGCCTTTTTATTTGTAATTGTGTCTAGAGAAGGATCTGCAAAAAGTAGAAAGTCTACCCTGTCTTCCTGTTTTCTATTATTAAAAGAGTTTAAATTAAAGGATGGCAGTCCCCCTAGTTCTCTGTGAAAATTGAGTCTTTGAATGTTAAAAAGAGGGCAATGGAGCAATAGGTGTTTGGTTGATTCAGTAGAGTGACCACATTTACATTTGGCATTTGGGATATTTCTGAAGTTATGTGTAAAAAGATGCTGCCTAAAAATGAGATCACATCTCGTTTTATTTAAGACAATTTCTTTATCTCTGGATAGGTTTAATCTTGGGGTTGTGAATTCTTTCTTTTTCCCATTCAAAAATGTTCTAATTTTATACTTAAATGAGTTGCGTGAGTGTGCTTGTTTCAGTTCATCTGGTAAATTATCCCATAATTTAATACTGGATAAAGCTGTAAACTTCCTAAGTTTAGCTGATGCGTTGAATGGGATCTTAAAATCATTGCTACGTCGAAGTCTTTGGTGATTTACCTGATTCTTATACTGTTCAAAAACATTTGAAACATATGAAGGCATCTTATAATTATTTGCAAAGTCAAACATAAACACTAGTTTTTTTTCTTTTCTTCGATTGGATAAGGATCTCCATCCAAGACATGACATCACCTTCTCAGAGTTTGACCCTTGGATGCAACCACTTACAATAAGACCCGCTCTATATTGGACTCTATCTAAACTTGCTAAGAGGTTTAGATTTGCGCTGTCAAAAATAATATTCCCATATTCGAGATGTGGGAGAATGAATGCCATATAAATTGTCTGTAAGTGTTTTGATCTTACTGAAAATTTGAGTGCTTTTAATGGATTTAACATTTTGTTACACCTAGTAATCACTGAGTTAATGTGTTCTTCAAAGCTAAGGTGTTTGTCTAAAATGATGCCTAAATGTTTATGGCTATTTACAAGAGGTATTTGCTCATTATTCATTGTTACTGGAATTTGTTTCTTGACTTTTCGTGTGTGTTTAGATTGAAAGATAACCTCTTTACTCTTGGATGCCTTAAATTTGAGTTTCCATTTAGTGGACCAGTTAGCCATTTCATTGATATCTGATTGAATTTTTTGATTTGTTGCTTCAACTGATTCATTCTTTGGTACTGTCAAGAAGATGGAACTATCATCAGCATATAAGAAAAGTTTACAATTATGAACTGAGTCTGCTAAATCATTAATATATAGCAAAAATAAGAGGGGGCCAAGAATTGATCCTTGGGGAACCCCGCTATTTATTTCATAGGATCTGGAGTCTCGATTTTGAAGATTTTGAGGAATATTTGCACCAGCTTCAGCATTACATGAAATGTCTGAATAAGTATCATTGATCCTTACTTTTGATTTCCTATCTGTTAGATATGAGGTCAATAATTCTATAATATTTTTGCCTAAGCCATAAGATTTCATCTTATGGAGTAACAAAAAATGTGGGACTGCGTCAAATGCACCTTCCACGTCTAAAAAGATTCCACGGGTTGGGAGGTTAGAGTCAAAATTATCGGCTAACATATTAACAATAGAAAAAAGTTGCTTCTGTGTATCATGTCCTGGTAAGAACCCGGACTGATTTTCATAAATGAGGTTCTTCGAGGAAACATGGTCAAAAATAGCTGTATAAATTATTCGTTCAAAAAGCTTTGAGAGATTATTGAGGAGGCAGATTGGTCTGTAGTTGGATGGGTCTGTTTTTGAATTTTTATTCTTATATATAGGAACAATTATGCCCAGTTTCCAGCAATCAGGAAATGTATTAGTTTCCAAGAAAATAGTGAATAGTTTAACTAGTTCAACATCGATAGAGTCAGCCACAAGTTTCAACATTTTGTTAGTGATATTGTCTTCTCCACCTTTTTTAGATGAATTAAGGTTCCGTAAGTTATCATTTATATTTTTTCGAGAAATATTTATGTAAGTCAAAGATTCATTTGTTTTCATAGGACAGGGCGGCAATGACTTATCAATTATATTATGGTGGAACTTAGTCATGAACTTATTCAAAAAAGCATTTGCTTTTCCAAAGTCATCATCAATAATTTTATCATTTATCTCAAGAAGAGGAATTCCTGTAGAAAACTTGGTTCCTATAAGTTTCTTTATAATTGTCCAGTAGTTTAGGCCATTTGCTGCTTCTTCATCCAAGTTATTACAAAGTTTATCTTGATAGTTGTTCTTTGAGTCAGTAATTAATTTGGTAAGATATGCGTTTTGCTTTTTAAATTGGTTGATGTTTAAGTCATTGCTGTCCTTTTTCATTTTTTTGTACAATTTATCTTTTTTATTGAGAGCTGACTTGATATCCTTGTTGAACCAGGGCATATCACTAGTTTTCAAGGTTGTGACTTTGCTTGGTATATGGGATTCAAATATATGAAAAAGTGCAGCAGTGAAATCTGATGTAATTTTGTTAACATCATCTTGTAGGTAAATACTGTTCCAATCGAAATCCTTAACAGCCTGATTCAGATTGACTGTATTTGCCTCGCTATAAAGCCACGATCTCTTAGAAAACGCATTTTGTTTGTTTGGTAGTGAGACATCAAGTGATGCTAAAGTCGAACAGTGATCAGTTCCACCAATAGGTGGTTTAACTTCAGTTTTCAAAATACGGCCGGGGAAATTGGAAAAAATTAAATCTAGACAGGATTTAGATTGTGTAGTAATTCTTGTGGGTTCTTCTATAAACTGAGTAAGTGAATTATTCACACAAATGTCATAAAGCAAGTTACCAACGTTACTATTTACATCATCTGGCCACCATTTTTTACTTCTGGCATTAAAATCCCCCCCAAAAATTATAAGATCAGAGTTTCCCTTTAGAACATTTTCAATATTGGCATTGAGATTGAACATGTATTGGTCTCTAGTGACAGCCAGTTGAGAAGGAGATCTATAGAAGAGACCATACAGAAATGACTTATTCTGTACTTTAACTTCAAGCCAAATGCAATCATTCAATCCGACATTAAGGTCCTTGCGAACTTTAAAACTTAAGGATTCATGTATATAAACCAACAGTCCTCGACCAGATGTGTTGTACAAGTTCAAATCTAGCGTGTGATAACCATCAATGTTGTAGTCTGAAGTATTGATATTAGTACCAACTTCACTCAGACCAGCAATATGAATATTTTCCTCTTTCAAATAGAGTTTAAGGCAATCAAAACGTGCGTTATTGTCTGCGGCAATACGATCTGACTCTCATTAATTAATAATTCAGCATGAAAGCAGAAAGAATATTTTACTTATCAGATATATAGTATATTCAATATTCTCAATTATATTTTTCAGTGTGAAGAAGAACCAGATGTATGATGAAAGTGGACTCTTATTAAATGATAGCAGAGACTTGTGTGACTGTTTAGACACAGCATGTCCTGGATGTCACTTTCCTTGCTCTAAGTGTGACTCTGAAAAATGTGGCGGAGAATGCAGATGTAATAGGAAATATGTATATGAAAAGGTGGAAGTTGAAGGCAGTAATCTCTCATGGGAGTTCTTCCTGTAAAATGCCTCAACTCATAAACACTGTGACATTATATATTTCAATGGTGCTTTTGAATAATGACATGTGAATTTCTATGATAAAATCTTAGTGACGTATTTGTTGATATATAAGTATGGAATCTGTAGAAGACAATGGTGTACCTGAAATTGAAAATCAAATATCAACCATAAGCTTAGAAAGCAACACTGCCTCAAATGTATCACAACCTGAAAATGTATCACAATCAGAAAATGTATCACAACCAGAAGATGAATCACAGCCAGGAAATGGATCACAATCAGAAAATGGATCACAACCAGGAAATGGAAATGGTAAGAAAAAGTGTATCAACTGTGATGTAGAAGTGCCATCCGACTCAAAATTGAATCCAGCAGTGCGTGACTTTTTATGCTCTGGCTGTGAATTAGACAATGCACATTTAGAACAATGTGTGCATTGTGGCTCATACATAGATCTCAAACTGAAGTATCATATGTATGTTAGTGCATGGGTGATTAAAGCATTACAGAAGTTAGAATGTTTTGATTCAGAGCGGAAATACATATGTAAGCCATGCTATCATCATGTTTACTATCTACGGAATAGAAACAGTGCAAAAAAGTATCAACCCCAGTCACCCAGATTCTCGGAAGGTCAGTCTTATAATGATGAGGTAATTCTTCTATATATCTGGTATATAATTCACATGGACGTAGCTAGGGATCAGACACGTGAGCCAAGACCCAGGAAACTAAAATTTTCAAAAAATATATATTACATGTAGTCAGAAATTTAAAAAAATGAAATTCTGAAAATATTGTCCAATATTACCTTCTTTATTCTTTTTTGTCTCAATCTTTAAATTGTTTAAATTTGCCTCTCCTATTTTTGGATCCTGGCTACGTTCTTGATGTGATACATTAAAGAAGTTGGTGTATGTACTGAACAACTAAATCAATCAACCGACTTAAAGTTCAAAGGCCATCAGAATGTAACATATAGAGAAAGAGTAATTTGTCCAAGTTATTTTCAAGAGAGTATGTTACAGATGTGAAGAAAATGTTGTCACAAGTTTTCCATCCTGCTTATTTGCTTTTAAACTTCTGTACAGGTTGACCTGAAAAATGCAACCACTTTTTGTAATAACTTTGTCAAAATGGTGAGAGTCACCCCAACTCAAATTTTGTTAGAGCATCATTTGAGCAAACAGCATATAGTATCGGCCAATTTAATTTTAAGAAAATCATTTTCCATCTTGGTATGCTCTCACATCAAGTTGGTCAAAAATGTGGGTTACATATCTAAGTTTGAAGTCATTTCTGGAATGTTTTCACACAAGTTATCATTGTTTTTCAGGAAATGTACGCTTTCACCAAAGCAACCAAAAAGGAAAGGAAAGAATTGATGTTTGCCAAGCCAGGGAAGTTCATGGAAGATTTTAACCCAGAGACTAGTGCTAGGGAATTACGTAAAGTCAACCGAAAGATTGTCAAACCAACGTAAGAATTCTGTGAGCCAAATTGTGTTGTGTGTTTTAACAGTAAAAACTCACTTTAGAAATCTCCATGAAAAATTGATTGAAAAGACTTATTTTTAAATATTTTTGAAAATATCTGTTTAGATGAGTCCTCCAATCCATTTATAATGGAAATAATCTTGATTTACAGGGTGTCCGGAAAGTAAAGATACAAATACTCTAATTTTAAGAGATTTAGTTTTTTGTCATGAAATTGCTACAGATTGTAGAGGAACTAAATTACAATACATCTACCAACTTTTATAACATATAGTCTAAATGTGTTAAAGTTACGCAGAGGTGGCGTTAACGCAATTTTTTACGTTTTTTACTCACATTTTTGCAACTCTGACGCAAATATTCATTGTCTACCGCGTCTTTCTGACGCACGTTTGTTTCACATGCAAAATCCCCGCTTGGTACTTGGTTAAATTGATCCTTATACGTGAAAATACGTGATTGATCAAATTTATAATTTTGCTAATTCTGGAAATCTAACATTTTGTTCAGCGCAATCGAGCCTCCTTCCTACCGATCATTTTCTCATTTCGGTATTTCATATAATTTTTAAAGCCCTGTGATTCAGATTCAATGATAAACTTGAAAACATTGATCGATCCCTCGATTTGTTTATCTCGTGAAGCACGTTGCTAGGGGGCGTATCAAAAATGCAATAAAACGAACATAACATTGAACAATAATTTATTAAGTTCATACTCCCTTCTAAGGATTTTAGTGATCGTATATTTATCTAAATTACCGCATAAAATCTTCCCTTGAATGTTCACACGCTAGATTTACGAAACTTTAGTTTCCTTCGCAAGTTCGCAAAATTCCTTCGCTAAGTTAGCAAGTTTCCTTGAGCCGTCCCCTTCATCAGCATGCGCAGATGTAATGCGCAGTAGGTTTATCAATGGTGCTAACAGTGACTGATCTATCGTAAATTTTCACCAAGTATTTTCAATTAACTCCCTCAAGTTAAGATCTTCGATTCACTGGATCTAAAGCTGATCCTATGTAGATAGATAATGGGCACATGAAAATCCAGTCGATCGCACATTAAGGGGGGTAATGATGATAAATTAGGTATGAAAACAAATCTACTTTCGGTTTCATTTGATCAGCTATAATTACAAGATTCTACCGTATTCAATTTAAATGATGCCCAGTATTGTGGTTGGACTTATATTGCCGTTTTAGACTTTGGAATGATTGCAAAAATGTTTAATTTCAACATGAAATGCTTTGACCCCAATTTGTGTAACTCCACACAGGGAGAAACTCCCCTCCCACTCCATTCACACCCATGACTCGCTGGACCAGATAATCAGATGATTAATAGTGACATTTTTCTTGCAATTGCCTAATTAATTAATTGTTAGTTGTTAATGTGCTATAAGAGTACAATAAAAGGTATGCACAAAATCAAAAAATAGATTTTGTATGTGGTTTCTACATTTTGTATGCATTTTTACTCAAGAAAAACACTTTTATAGCTTTGACTCAACTTTTTTTCTTGTGACTCACTTTTTTGAAACTACCTGAGTCATGATGACTCACAAAAATATATGCCTACCGCCACCGCTGGTTACGGTTGTCATGGTTACGGTGGCGAGGGGTATGCGGAGCATTTCCAGGATATCGCGAAATTGTGATAAATTGCTAAAATATAACCATTTAAAATAGTGTTTATTATTGAATTTCTTATCAGTTTTTTGTTTTGTTCAATATTGTATTCTGGCTACCATAGTATTCTCATTAGTATAACAATATCATTAATACATATCAGAACTATGTAATGTCACCAGTATAATCAAAGAAAAGGAGTATATAAGTGCTTAGAAAAAGGGTCCCTGGATTAATAGGAAAGTCAGTAGTGCACCTCCACAGTCAATGCTCCAATGCACAAAGCAAACAAATTTTACAATTGAATGTCTTGACATTAACCTTTTTGTACAATGGCCCATATTTCCCTGATAATGTCCTGTTGGACTTCTACATTAATGAATATGTTAAAGCAATAATTGTGAGAAGTTCAACATAAAAATAAGACTCGGCTGGAAGCCAATGTTATCAGCAATCTTAGAGACTGACAGCAAATGTTTTGTAAGGTCTTTGAATCCCCGGTCATAATACACCAAGAATGTTCAGATAAAGGTGGAAAATACATAATACTCAACAGTAGTAATGTCAAATGATTAAATAATGTTTCAGTACTAACTACTAATCCTTTTGCTGTTGTGGTACATAATTTGATGCATAATAGCAACAGGCGACGGAGTGTCAAGATGATATGAACAGGAGAAAAGAATTATGAAACGAAATTGTGACGTTGCTCCACATATCCGCGACTCCTGTTACGATAACAACCATAACTTTTTTATTTTGAAACAATTTGTCATGAGAGTTGCAGGATAAATTGTTTCAATGTCATTCTACAATCTGTAGCAATTTCATCTCACAACAGGTAAATCTAATGAAATTAGAGCATTTGTATCTTAACTTTCCGGACACCCTGTACATCATAAAAAATTCATTCAAACTGATGTCATATTTGGAATCTACATGTAAAATTACATCTAGAAATGTGGTTTTGAAAAGAGTTAATCAACTTTGAAAGTTCAATTTTCTTTGAAAATGTGACTTTTTGGTCAAGGAGATTCCCCATAGACCCCATGTTGTAAAACCACAAAAAGTGAAATATATTTTCTTGTGTTGGGCAGATAATATTTTCTTTTACTGGGCATATTTTAATTTGTATAACTATCAGATACATAAGGGTAATATGAAAAGTGAACCACCAAACCTAATGAATATCCAGGTTTAAGGGAACTTTGTAATACCCTGCCAACTGCCATGTTATTTACCCCGAATTAGCCACCTGGTTGCGAAACTGGTAACTACCTTATCACATCTGAGTAATTGCCAGTATTTTAAGCTTAGTAATAACTACATTTAGTCATTATTGATGAAGAAATTCATATTCTAAGAACAGGGGTTTATCGTTTCAAGTCAACTTTAACGAGTGACAATTTGGGTATTTCAGTAACTTTGACCAGTTCTAACTTTCCTCATAGGGGGTAAGTCATCATTTTTTCGCTAAAACATGCCTTATTCAATTTTGAGAAAAGCCAGAAAGTTTCAGATCAAAAGACGAAAGACAAATTACAAAAAAAGTTAAAGAAAAAAATTCTTAGGGGGATCTGGGTTAAACAACTTATGCATCTGTGAATTTTTTTTAACTTGACTTACCATTAAGATGTTAAATATTTATTGATGTTATAAGCCTATATTTTTAAACTCCATTTATGTGATTTTTCTCATCATTTAGCATTATAAATGGAGCCCATGCAAATAGTAAGTAATCTAAGGTTAATATTCCAGCCATATATCACAGAGCAGAGATATTGGAACTCTATTTGTGCAATGGTGAATTATTTCATGGAAACAGTAATACTTTTCATCTTAATGGGTACAGTCTTGACGAACAAAGATGTTGCCCCATCCCAAAATTTTTTGTGACTGTGATACCTCTACTAATGTCCTTAATATTGTACTGTATTGGCAAAATTGTCACAAATTAAGGGTGCTAAAACTGAAATTAAGATCCTTGGTGAAATGATGAAACGTACACATACTCATTCCAGTTCTGTGTTTCAAAGTTTTAAATCATAACATGACCATCATCAATAAGAAGGAATTTTCAAGATAACTTCTGAATAAAAAAAATCCCAATTAATATCTGATAAATAAATACTTGGCTCAAATTGGGGCTGATTTCTTATGTGCATATGATCTTCACTTCTTAGCTGCCATTTTTCTTGAAAAGTTGACATTTTAGGCTATAACTTCCTGGTAGGGAAAAGAGAGTGCTGGGACAACAATGACTGTCTACTGAATAGTCTTGTTTAATAATCCTTTGATATTTTTCAGTGTGAAGAAGAACCAGATGTATGATGAAAATGGACTCTTGTTGAATGATAGCAGAGACTTGTGTGACTGTTTAGACACAGCATGTCCTGGATGTCACTTTCCTTGCTCTAAGTGTGACTCTGAGAAATGTGGCGGAGAATGCAGATGTAATAGGAAATATGTATATGAAAAAGTGGAAGTTGAAGGCAGTAATCTCTCATGGGAGTTCTTCCTGTAACATGCATTGTTAACATGCAAATGTGTAGAAATGATCTCTACCATCTAGTTTTACTAAAATGAGCATCACCTGTTGTGTATGTATGTAGGGAATGTATTGAAATATATTAAAAGCTGACAAAAATGAAAAATTCTCTGGTTTCAACTGATTTTAGAGCCTTTGATTCAAGAAGTTAATTGAAGTTCTATTGACTGATTGATATCTTTATTACAAAAAATATAACTTATAAAATAACAATAACATAATATGCAGGATGTATATGTGGTATCCGAAAAACTGAAGAAATGTTTATCAAAGTGCTTTATCCATCTAATATCATTGTGATATACAGTCTGTTACACTGCTTCAAAGGAAAGCAGTTGAACCTGAAAAATAAGATATATATAGACCATTGTGCCATAATATATAGAAAAATATATTCATATTGCACACGAATGACATTTGTATATTTCAGATTATTTAGTGTTTAGTACAATAAGCCTGTGTCCTCTTGTAATTTGAGGTCTGTCCGCTATGTTATTTTTTTAGAATTAACATGGTAGAGAAGTATCAAAATATAAGAGGTTACATACTTCATGAGCCAATTTACAAGCACTCCAACATATACAAATGTCATTCGTGTGCAATATGAATATATTTTTCTATATATAATTGCACAATATTATTTAGATTTCTTATATTTCAGGTTTAACTGCTTGCCTTTGAAGCAGTGTAACAGACTGTAGACTGTAAATGTAGGCCAATGCCATTTTTACCTGCTGGTCTCACATCTAAGACTTGAGCTCTGATAATTAACAGTCTAACATTGATCTATCCCTTGTAACTGTAGGCTGGTACATTTTTTGCTCCGAATCCTTTATTTCCAAGATGTTATTGTAATGTTTATAAAAGATGACTGACACAACATTTTGGTCTGGCAATTTATGCATATGTATTCATATATGGTAGTCCAATTGATCCCTCAAGAAAAGGATTTTAATTCATGTGCTAAACCATGTGTGAGAGTAATTGTACATGCAAATTCCAATTTTCATTTTGGGGAAGGTTCTTTTTCTTTGTTGTAAATCATTAAAACAGCTGTCTATTGTGTTCTGCATCTAATAACATAAGGGATGCCTGGAGAAAACAGTCATTAAATCCAAGGTATTGAGAAAATCTAGACAATTTATCCACTTTACGTTCCATAAGTTGCAATTTGGGACTTAATTTATTGCAGAAAATAATTAAGTTGTCAGTATTACATATGATTGTCAGTATAGTACAGTACAATACAGAATACATGGTACGGTACAGTACTGTATAGTACAGTACAGTGCAGTACAGTACAGTACAGTACAGTGCAGTACAATATAGTACAGAACAGTACTTTACCATACAGTATACAGTAGAGTATTGTTTTGAATTACAAGAAAGTACAGTAATGTGCCATTGGATTTATTGATGGCAGCACTATATAATCTTTATAGTGAAATTATAGAAAATGTATAGTGGGTAGTGCTTGAGTGGGTAGAACATGGTTTGATGTAGATTAATGACAGTGTAATTGCGTTGAAATCATTTGTGTTATTACAAAAGGTTCACATATCCTTGTATAGATCAAAAGCTCATTAGTGTTAATGTTTAAATACATGCATACATCCTATAAAAAAAGCGTATAGGTTATTAATCATTTCTACATTAAAGAATTAATGTTTTTGAGCAGGTGCAAAAATATTGATAAATAATTCACTAAGAGTCTATGTCAATCTGACATGATAAAATCAGTAGTTTTAAGCTAATTAATATTTTTGGAAGTAGCAATCCGTTTCTGATACAATTATGCATTAATTCGTTAGCTCTGCACAAGAATCTATCATGTAAACATGTTACAGGTTTTCAAATATTCTCCCTATTTTTATCATATGTCACCACCAAAAAGTGGTGACATATTGTTATAGTCTCCGTTTTTTTGTGACAGCGGTTGGTGATCGGCAGTTGGCGTCTGTAATAAAATCGCAAAACTTCCAATAACTTAACAAATACTGTTTAGACTGACTTCATTCTTTTTCAAAATCATCTACAAGATTTCAGAAGTCCAAATCTGACTTTATATTTAAGATTTGACCTTCAGCCACCTTTTCAAGGTAAAGAAAAGTCAAAACAAAAGGGTCTTTTTCAACCTAATTCGATCAAATTGACCAATTTTCTTTTTCAAAATCATCTACATGTTATCAAAGGTTGAAATCTGACTATAGATTTGACCTTCAATGACATTCTCAAGGTCAAAAAGATATTTGACCTTCAATGAGCTTCTCAAGGTCAAAAATGTCTTTTTTTAACTTGCTTCAAATTTCAAAATCATCTACAAGTTCTCAGAAGTTCAAATCTGACTTTAGATTGAACTTATGATATAATGAGTAATTAGTTGGTGACATTTTTTCATGTTAATGCCTTGTTATGTTTTAAGTATGTCAAGTTCAATACAGTAAAATCTGTAAAGTGGAACACCTCTATTAATAAGTGAAACACCTAACTTAATGTAAAACATACCTCTGTAACTCCTTCTGAGTGGAACCACAGACTTTTTGAAACCCATGGTGGAACACCTTTTTGAGATACCAAAGGTGTTCCACCTACATACATTTACTAAATAAGAAATGATTAAACAGAGACTTGGTGTAAAGCGGTGTAATTATAAAAGGCAAATCATTATTTTTACATGTATTACTTGTATTTTTTATGTTTTACTTGTATTACTATCAGATGCAGATGCTGGTGTAAAATATTTCTTGTGACAACCTATTATAGATTGTTGTACAAAATAAAGATCATTAATAAGTATTCTAAGTTAGTAGATGGATTTATTTTTTACTTTATATTACGTTGTTGTATATATTTGATTTATAGTGACATACTGTAAAACTAGAAATGTTCAGGTACAACATATTTTGCTAGAGACTAGTTTTACAGTATTTACTCGAATATCGTTGATTTAAATTGTCTATTACAATCGTTCATTTGTTACAATATTAATCTAAAGCAACATTTTATTTACATACTCCCATTTACATGCTCTCTGAGTCCTTCAACTTGTAATTGTTGGAAGTTATTATTTTTTATTCAAACATACTGTCAGTCATATCAGGTTTTCTCTGAATGTTTGATATTCATGTATAATACTGTTAAGAAAATGTGAGAAATTTTTCAGTTTGACTATAGCCCTAAAGTGTTTTTGTATAATTTACATAGAGTAAAAGCGGTCTCGTGGCATCACGATGCACCATTTCAAAAGTTGATTTCGATCTTCTCATTTAGAACTTGCATTTTACAGGATTGTTAATGTTAGAGACACCGGTACCAGTGCACTATTGCTATCAGCCTACTCTAGTAGAGCTATTGTTAAAAGACCGAAAAATACTGACATTCAGTAATTTTATTCTCCCTTCAATTTGTTTGCTTTGTTCCTACACTGGAAAATTGTCTATGGAGTATTTGAAAATTCTATTGGCGCTGGAATTTGATTATGATATGAAATGTAAATATTTTTATGTTCCCAGGCTGATTAATCAATTTCCTTGCTGTCCCATTGGGAATGATAGTGCACTTATTTATTAATTTATTGATGTTCTTACTATTTCACTCGGTATTATGCCTATTGTTTTGTATTGTATTTTGGCCATATTTTTGTGAGCAATGTCTCATTGGTGTGTTCCGTATTTTACACCAGAAGACACCAGAAATATCTCCTTGGAGGACTCTTGTGCTCTTTTATATGCACTCACACACATCCGTACAAGTGCCCCATACACACAGCCTTTTATTCGAGTTGGGATCACTCAGTCGGAAACACCCAGAATTATTATAGCGCGCAAGCAAAGTCTGGACCGGTGTAAAAGAAATTATGGTCCCCTGGGGATTATGGTCCCCTTTCCTTACGGCCCTTACTGGCCCTGACTGTGTATAAGGAGTAAGGAAAATAATTGTAATTAGGTCACCATATAAATCAATAGCGAGTAGGACCAAAAGTTGATAGGACCACATACACTTTTACACCGGGAGTCGAACAAGTGCCCAAGCGATAGTGGTAGCCATGATAGTGGAACCGGTGAGCAAACGTTCACTGATAGGCACAAATTAAATTGATGATGATTCGAAGAACGATGAAAAGACACGGGTTGAAGATGAGACTTAAGACGGGGAGATTGATGAGGAAAAGTTCATCATTCACTAGATTGATGGTAGCTGAAGACGCGTGAGATGTGTTAAAGCGCCAATCAATCAACATAAAGTTGAACATAGACAAGTGTAATGGTGAAGATTAGAAGGAGGTTGCTGAAAGGGCATACTAAGGAGAAGCAACTTTATTTGAACATGATGAAAAGTGCAGAGCTTAAGCTTTTTTGAAGTTCCCCTTACGTATAGTAACAGAAGTGATGTATAAATCGACGATTACTGTATGTGGTCTTATGAACTAATATATGATAAACGAATTTGCAATTGTGTTATTTGATTTTTTACTTTTTGATTGTAATCCTCACTCGTGTGTTGATATTTGGTATCAACTCGATGATAAAAATGATATCATTAAAATGATCTGAGCTGTTCATAACAGAAATTAGATATGTTCATCGAGACATATAGACTGGATTACTAAACAATTACTTGAAGTATCTAGTAGATTAGAACATTGTATATAATATAATAATGATAATGTATGTACTTCTGATCTTCAGTGCCACAAGATTGAAGATAGCCTAGTACCAATATCATTATGGGCTCCTAAGGTGAATTTTATTGCGTTTTCTCCATCGAATTATCCTAGCCGTGACACATTGCACATCAAGGTTCCTAATCCTATTGTTCATATATTCTTTAAGGAAGTTAGTAGCAATAACTATCAACATAAATAACCATTGAACAATAACGCTAAAGTGACTTTCTTTCAATTAAGGTCATTTAAAGTCACCTTATCCAAACATGGAAACCATAGATTTATGGGACATCTTTTGGGACACTATTGTTGATATCCATTGTTAGAGGCATAATGAGTTAGTCAGTGT